TATACAGTACAAAAAAATTCAGTAATTTGGGATAAAAGTAATTTGGGACAAACCCTAAATAGTAATTAAGTACAAAAAAATTCAGTAACTATATATGTATAGATATAAAAGGAATGCAGTAATTTTTGTATGGAAAAATAAATTTTCCATAAAAAGATCCGTAAAATAGAGGGTAAAATAGAGGCCTATGCATTTGGGATTCCCCATTTAGTTGTTATCCCGAAATACCTGGCGTATATGCCGTCGTCTGCTAAACGAAACATCTCTCTAGAATCCAGATGCGAAAAAGATGAGAAAAAACGACCGGAAAAATCATCTTCACATTTGAATTTGGAAGCGAAGAAAATGGGATACGCTTATTTGTCTATGGAGGGTGTGACCCGGTTTTTGTTATAAATGGGATTCTCCATTAAGATTGGTATCCCGAAATTTACTCCATTAAATGGGATTCTCCATTTAGAGTCAATTAGGCCGAAAAATCTGGAGTAAGTATATTTGAGATTGCAAGGTTTTCTCATACCTATACATTTGGGATTTCTGCATCGGTCAATTAGGCCGAAAAATGTGGCAAACTTGCATTTTAATAAAAGTAAGGCTTAATAAATTAAGTTGCCATGTGTCTTTTTAATATGTTGCTGCTTGGCTTATTAATAACTTGACACATGGCTAATTGAGAATGCAAACTTCTTTGCTTTAATATATATATATATATATATATATATATATATATATATATATATATATATGATATTTTGAACAAAAGCAGAAGGAGAACTAGAAGCTAGGGCTTCTGCTAGAACTTTCACCATCGCCATTACTCCAAATACAGCGATCATCATTACCAAATTACGCTTGACCGGGTTGATGTGAATCATGACGGAGGAGTTGACTGCCAATTTTGCTGTAAAGACCGGAAACCCGACAACAATGGAAGATTAACTTTTGGGCCTACAAAGTGCAGATTTTTGTTATTTACACGTCGCCATCATCGGCACCGTTGACGGCCGCCATTTGA